GGGACCTCCGGGTCCGAAGCATCCGGGACCGAAACCTCCCGGACCAAAACCTCCGGGACCACAACCTCCCGGACCAAAACCTCCGGGACCACGACCTCCCGGACCAAAACCTCCGGGACCGTACCCTCCGGGACCACGGCCTCCCGGACCGAAGCCTCCGGGACCGTGGGCTCCGGGACCGAAGCCTCCGGGACCATGGCCTCCGGGACCAAAGCCTCCGGGGCCGTAGCTTCCGGGGCCCTGGCTTCCAGGACTGTGGCCTCCAGGACCGTGGCCTCCAGGACCTCCAGGACCAAAGCCTCCTGGACCGTGGCCGCCGGGACTAGGGCCTCCAAGACCAGGGCCTCCAGGACCGAAACCTCCTGGGCGAGGACCTCTGGGACCAAAGCCTCCGGGATTACATCCGCCTCTAGGCATTGTTGCCGCTAAATCCTGTAAAATATTCTTTAACAAAAAAAGTTCCGTCCTCAAAAAGATCCGTCAAATATATCATTTTTCATAATTTTCAATTTTTTTTCTTAAGCGAACCGATTTGGATTCGGATTAAACTCGGTTGAAATTAAACCTGAATTTTTTTGTTTATGTCTAAAAACAAAAAAAAAACAATATTATTCTTGATCTATAGGTTGCTCGGGACAATAATTAACATCAAACAGAGCCACAAAATGTGATTTCTTTCACAAATTTTTGAAAATCTTTATCAAAAACACTTCAACTTATTATTCCTATCATAATCTTTAAAATTTAGTCACTCAAGAAAACTCGAAAATGAGAGAGAAAGAAAGTACCTGAGTTAGAGGATGAAGATGAGGAGATTGAGTTGCAGTAACTGAGGTTAATGGTTTGATATTTATAGCCATTTATGGGATATGGCTAGATACTCTTAGGCAACAATAACAAAGTTTAATGTTATTTGTCACATGGCAATATTGATTATTGAGCATCTTTTGGATATAATATATACTGATAATCTTCCCACTTACCAACAATAAACACATAATTAACCAAGATTAAAAAGCAACATTTTGTTTAACGTTCAACAAATGACAACACACCATGACGGTAGTACTAACACATGTTTACATTATTAAAAACATGTTTGTGTTGAAACTACTAACTTGAATTAATCAGATAACTCCTAAAAAAGTATAAATAAGTGTTAGTACTACCGTCATGGTGTGTTGTCATTTGTTGAACGTTAAACAAAATGTTGCTTTTTAATCTTGGTTAATTATGTGTTTATTGTGGAATAAATCATGCGTACCACGAACGCTTAAGCGTGGACCACATTGATTTGGGAAATCGTATATGCTCTGTTTTCTTCTAATTAACATATTTAAGCTTAAGTTGAATAATGTTAACATTCATTTTTAAATTTTGTTATTTTATTTAATAGTATAACTTATAATCTAAACCAATACATGTATAAGTTATAATCTAAAATAGAAGATGTCTAAAATATCGTACATTTCTAATTAATAATTCTACAATACAGAAACTTGTATATATATTTTATTGTGATTGCATTTTATTAGCAAACTGTTTCTTAACGTGTACAATTCAAGTATATTTGTTACCACGCGGGTTACATGAGGTATTCTCTACTTTTTTTTTCTCTAAATATAGAGAAAAGACTAGCAATTTCTATTTTAGAGATGAAAATAGAGATGAGTTGGAGAGAAAATAGAGGATTGCTATTTTTTTTTCTATTTTTAGAGAAAAAAATAGAAATGGGTTGGAGATGCCCTAAGACATATCATGTGCTAACAAGTTATAAATATAATGCTAAATTAAGAAAACACACTAGAGAATGAGAGTTTATGAGTAATCAAAATTCTAAGTAAGATAAAAGCCATCTTTGTAGTTTTCTACAAAAAGATTCAAAGAAACATACATCTTTTATTAAAATCAACAAGTGACAACACGAAAATCACATGAAACGCACAACACAAAAACATAGTCTATCAAGAGACCTCGATGTGACATATCCAAGAAGTATGGCTATGCTATATCACCTCTATTCAATATGGA